CGGCGGGGCCTCGGACGGGGCGCCGGGGCTGGGCCCGCCGTGGGCGGCCGGGCTGGAGGCGTCCACGGTAACCCGGTGCTGGCCTCTCCGACGCCTGGGCAGGGAGGGCTCCTGCCCCGCGCTTGGACATGGGGTATCTGTCTCCCTGGGGTGTGCCGGTACACCCGGCTCTGTGCTGAGAACGGGACTGTTGTGGGTGGGCGTTTGCATCAGTAACTGCAGGGCTCCTTTATGTGCCACCTTGCCTAATGCGGTCTGAAATCTCCTGCTCGCATCAGGCTCTTTCTGGAAATGTGACAGTGTTCAGAGCATTTCTGAAATGCGATGACTTCAGCGGGGTTTTTTCTTTTTCCTCCAGTTCCATACACTGCCAAATGATGTAGCTGGCATGTTGAAGAAAAGGTTTTGCCTAATCTTTCCTGTTAGAGAGAAACATGTCAGTGCCCTTCAGTTTAGGCTGGGGAGAGAAGAGCGAGGCCTGGAGGAGTGAATTGGGATATGGAGGAGGTGCGTGGGAAAGGGGATCTTCATCCTGGAGCTATGCTCATGCTTCCCTGACTAGAGAGGTCTGAAAGGTGTGAAAAACCACAGACACTAGCCTCACTGGGGAGAGAGAACTGTGAATCTGCACATTATCTCTTCGGGAAGATAGGAGAGCCTGTGCGCAGGGAACTGGAAAAGGCGGTTTGTGTGGGAGCATGCCGCAGGGCAGCGAGCAGGCACTGCTGGCTTCCCCTGGAGAGGCGATGGTGCGTGCTGGAGAGCGTGGGCAGGGCTGGGCAAGGACGAACATGGGGTATGCAGATGGAGATTCCTGTGCCCAGAACCGATGGAAGAGAAATGCATGTTGCATGTGAAATGGGTCATTTCGCACTTCGCAGTGAATGACTTTGTGGTTGGCTGCGTACGTCTGTGGTGGGTCCTCCAGCGCCGAGGGCTGTGTGGGAGGTGGCAGTCTGTGCATTTGTGTGAGGCTGGGGCTAATCAGTCCTCAAAGACCCCAAATGGGGAGCGTGGTGGTGTGGCCCAGCCATCACCTAGGGCTGCTTGTGGGGACAGCCTGGTCTTGGAGACCAGGTCAGAGCAAACTGCGCTCTGACCTCCCTTTACTGTTCCTTGAACGCAACCAGTGAGGTGTCGAGGCTGAGCATCACAAGGAGCTTCACCTGTGAGAGTTTGTAAGCTCAAGTGGAGAGAAAGTAGCTGAGATGCTTTCAGACTTGAGTTGTCCCTGGAGGCAGTTTAGCCATGTCTCAGCTAACAAGCCCAGGCAAGTTGGAGCTGATGTATGCAAAAAACACGCCAAAACAAAAAACTTAGCAACAAAAATATTAAATATAATTGCAGTTTCGCTAGCATTTCCGGTATAGAGCCTTTATCAGAGGAACCTAAGTAAAGGACATACAGAGAATCAGGCTGCAGAGTGGAAGAGGGCATGTTTGGGAACCACAGGTGTAGATGGGAGAGGAATGTAAAAGGGGGAAGGGACAATATGAATCTCTTATCCACATTAAACATTTAAAATGTGTCAAAGCTTTTACAAATATGAACATTTAGTTGCTTAATTTCTTTGCATGTTCCTGTCCTTTGTTTTTCCATTTGTATCTCATCTATCTTGTCTATCTTGTTATCTTACTGACTTACCAGAAGGGGAGTTTTCCATTGCTGACTTTCAGAATATTTAGAAAAGAAGTGCATATTGGTCTGGTTGAACCTCTAGTGTTCATTTACAAATAATAAAAAAATGAGGCTAAAGAATGGTTACACCCGGCTGAACGTTTTGAAAGAAGCCCAGCCAACATGGCAGAAGTGTGCTGCTACTTTGTAAGAACTGCAATGTGTAAAATCAAAACTGTAGCTATCTGTTCAGCTGCGGCTCTTAAAATTTGTGAATTGCTGTGTGAAACTGACAAGTCGAAAATCCCCGCTTTAATTTCAAGATTTATTTCAATGAACGAAAGCATGAATGTGAAAGGGAGCATTATTTTCTGCACAAGATCTAGGCTTTACTTACTAAATAATATAAATCAAAGAAATGAGTAATTCTGTCTGCAGTTGCGTAAGGCTACAACATAAAGTGATCCATGGATTTGCCATCATGGAAGCCATTGATGCCAGTTGTCTCACGTAATGACTGAAATTACATTCATTTCATTATATGAAATGGAGTATTTTTGTAATCTATGGTATTTAATACTGGGAGAATATTTTTAGCATCGTGACACGAAATAAAGTACCAACATACCTACTTAAATAGCAGAACAAAAGAACAGGCTTGAGGTGAGCGGTTCGGATAAGTAGCATGAGGTAATATTAACTGCTGAAGATTGTAGGATATACAAGATCTGACTTATCCTTAATTGTTCGTATCAAGATCTTAATATCTTCCTAATACATCCATGCTTCACAAAAGAAGCGTATTTTTTTTAGATTCCATGGAAACATGTTTTTGCTGATGTTTTTCTTTGGTGTTTTGTTTGCTAGTTTGATATAGCTGTCTCTGCCAGGGTGCTGTTTCCTACCCTGCTAGAAGAGTGGCAGTGCTTGTGGTTATGATACAAAGAATAATAGCGTATATTGATATATAGTGGGTTTGTGTGTAATTTATAGGTAAGGCATAACATATGACTGATCCTGCAAGTAATTTTCTAGTGCTGAGATCCACCCATGTATAGAAAGGTGAAACGCAGGTCCTTTGTAGGAAGAACCAAGGTACAGCTAGTACAATTTGGATTATTTACTGTTTAGGAGAGTAAGTTAGCTCCTAAGGATTGCTCTGCATCTCAAGAAATATAAAATGAAGAGATTGTATTTGATTAAATTAATTTTCTTTTTACATTTTAAGTGGCTGAATTTATTGATTTAAAATTGCTGTTATTTAACTTGCATCTCTAAAATTAGTGACACACACTGAATCATTATAAATGAGACTTAAATCAACTGGATAACATGCCTTTCACTAAATAGGCACACTGTGTATATAGCAGGCCAGGATTAATGCTTTTTCAGCAGACTCCCTGAAACTTTTATCAACATCTTTCTGGCTTTAATGGCTAACTAAATGAGACTAGTGACAACACCTGTTAAAGGCTCATCACTCTCACCTTTTTATATAATGTGTTAATATCTTATAATTCATGTCAAATACATACTGTTGGGATTTGCAAAACCAGGGAGAGTTGTCAGCGCATTTCTGATCTTTGTAAAGGGAAAGGAAAAAGACAAAAAAGAAAGGCAATTCCCATAGCCCTCTCTTAAAAAAAAGATAAATATATTAAAAAGTTAAGAACAAAAAACTTTCAGGCCCTCACTGGACTGCATATAAATACATATTAACAAAATTTAAGAGTCGGTTTTTAAGAGTGTCTTCACACTTCTTGAATACTCTGTTGGACGTGCCAGGGTAATTAATAAGATAAGTTCTATTCAGAAGAAAATAATTGACCTTATCTGCTGTTTAGTTGGTTTTATGTTCTTTGAAATAGGTCGAAGTGGAGCTTAACGGAGTAGATGCTCTGCCAGTGCCCTGATACTATGCTTATGAGTCTCTGAGCTTGTGGTAATATGTAATATTTCAAAGCCCTTTTAAAAAAATAAATTAACTCTCAAACTCTAGCTTGGCAATGTACTACATAAGCTTGTGATCAATTTTTTTCTGAACACTTCATCTCTTGAGCTTCGCATCACTGAGTCTGCAGTGTTCTGTGATCCCCATGCACAGCCTGTCAGAGGAGTACCTCCATGCCCACAGCCACCTGGCTAAACAACTAATACAAAAGTAAAATAAAATTTAAAAATTATGTGGGAATTGATGATGGGAATTTTATAGGTGAGGTGAAGTTGATAAGGAGGTGCTATGTTTGTTGACGTATCTGTAAGTGGGATGTACCCTGTGGCTTTGACCCACAATCGCAGCTCAGAAAATGCTCCTTGAAAGTCAGTGTAAAAATGCTATTAAGCAACTTCTCTCTTCCTCTGTTTCTGAAATCTGTCCTCACCAAGCTGTTGCCTGGTAGATGTTAGAGCATCTTCTAGGTTGCTGTAAGTTGTGCTGGCTATGAAACTTCTGCAGAGTTATTAGGGGGCCTCCTGTGAAGGCATCTCACTGGCATGTTGTCGCTGGCTATGGGAGTAACACTGACAACAGCCTTTACGTTGATGCGTTTCTGTCTGATGCTGCAGTGTGCTGCGCTGACCTTCCACTGACCTAGGACTGCGTTGCACTGGTAAAAGCAGCACTGAGCCACCCAGCTGCTAAGCAAAATCACTTCTGCATGGGGCTGCTTTTTTCTCATTTAGGCAGAACAGAGTTTGGAGGAAGGATGTAGATTTGTTGTGAGCCTCATAAATTAGTATGGGTGAAGTGTTAGAAGCTATTGATAACTTCATCCTGAACTTCTGTCTCCGTGTTGCAGAAAAGCTGAAGGTAAAAGGCACACTTCAGTAAGGCATTATTAGAGGGATAAATCGAGGAAGCAAAGGTAGCAATAGTGATCCAAGCAAGCGTATTTTGTCCTTTCCTGATCAAGGTTTCTAGGAAAATTCAGAGGTAGAAATATGGAGGGAGAGTCTAATACTGCTGCTTTTACTGAGTTGTGGTACACTTTGCAACTGCAGGTGCTTTGCCCCAGGTTGGGGGCCGTAATTTGTATAATGGAGGTGTTCCTGTGTCCATTGAGGGGCCTTTCCAAAGCTAAGTGAATAAAGTGTCTAAAATACCCTCTGGTGTTTTTGCTCTGAAGCCTCATGTAACTTGTTTTACCAAAAGTATACACTATTATCACTAGCAGGCATGATTTAGTTACATGATTCTGTATCTCTAGTGGAATAGTTAGCAAGCAGTAGCATAGGCAGTGTGAATTGACTTCTCTAGATGTGGGAAGAGAGTACAGCATTAACACAGTTGCAAGCTGGGAAGTATTTTTTCTGAGCACTTGCCTATGGGCTGTTGGGATGTGTGATGTGGTTATCCAATGACAAAGTGTGGTTGCCCTCATTTTTGCCCTGTGGTCTTACTTGTCAGGTATGATTCTCTAAAGGCTTTTTTCTGTGTTTTCATTATTTTGGTTTTGGATTATGAGCCAACAATTCATATTTTTGTCTATATCTTGTTCTTGTTCTGAATATAATAAATATTTAGTTCTCTAAATAAAGAGGACTGTGATCATCAGTCAGTGCTTTGAATCAGAATTGAAATTGATCACATATTTTGATTTCAAATAGTGTGATAATGTTTTTACAATAGTGTAAGCTATTTTTATGGTTTGAAAATCAGTAGTCTTTATCTTCATTAATGGTCTGTCTTCAAAGCCTGCTCTGTTTTAAAGTTAATGTGTTTCTTTCCTGTTTCCCTTTCAAACTGAAGTTACAAAGTAGCCCAAAGGAACTAGAAATTCTGTGTGTGTTAGCTGTGGTCTTTTTTGGATCGGGTCACAGAGTGTACTTTAATGTGTATTTATATATCAGTTTATTATAATGGCTAACTCCTCTATAGCAACACAGTTGCAAAATAGTAAGAAGAATGGCCTCCTTGCTGAGAACAGTGTATCCTGAAAAACTGGTGGCTGGCTTGTAGTGTCAGTTTTGTTTTGTTACTGGGAGCAGGATTTGATTATATTCCAAGTGTTTAAGTTGAAAGGCAACTCTCAGATAAAGCAACCGTCTATGTGAGCAGGTCTATCACCATGTACACTGCTATGAAGGAGCAATATTTTTTTATTGCTAGTCCATTACATAGTCAAAACAGCATAAGAATTGTTCTTATGAAATATTTTAGAAGGTGGTAAGGGTTCGCTT